AGATCACATACAAGTCGCATTTAATTGGAAATGTGTACGAACTTGCAAAAAATCCGATTTCACAAAAAAAACAAAATTGAGCATTAAGTCCTGCAGTTTGAACGTCGCCAATCTGTCAGACTGTTAAATCAGATAATACGCCATTATCCTTATTTGTGACATAAAATGTCATGTCGGAGTCAGAATCCAACACTGTCGGTATGTTAAGGCTGTTTTTTATGGGTTCTGCGCGTTTTCCATAAAATCTGTCAGATTGCAAGGTTTTTTTGATTGTTATGGGTCGGATTATAAATTCACGACTGCATATTGGGACATAACGTTATTGTTTTTAAGAGGTAATCATTGCTGAATATATATATATATACACACACATTAAATCATATTTATGTTCATCACCATTTGTTAAAAAGTTTTAATTCTTGTCTTGAAGTCAGTTTGCATCCTCTCGGATCTCTTTTTTTTGTTTGTTTTTATCGCCCCGGGATGACGGGATGTCCTCAAGCTCAAACCCTGTCAGTATGTTAACAGAATTTACAAGATAGCATGTCACCTGATCGCCAAAGTGTCTCTGTTTTGATTTTTGTTTTTGTTTTGCTTAATTTTTTGAAAATCACACCAAATTGACGTACACTGTCAGTGCATCATCACGAGGGCAAGAAGCAAGTGTGACTGACTTTCTCCGTGCGTTCCATTCTCTTCATAAGTGGTGAGTGTGTGTCATGTATGCAGGTGGCAAGACAAATTCCAGAAGTGAGTATATTTTCCACGGCAATCGCATGTTGCAATTGAATGGATGTCTCACGTGTGACTCTCAAGGCAGGCTTGCTCCTCTCTTACGCATTTCTGACGGAGCCTTGCAACCTTTCCTCTACTTCTACGACCTCCACGACCTTCACGGGACCCAAAATTCGCAGAGGACGTACGATCCCAAAAGCCGTGCGTCTGGTTGTGACTGAGGCCTTATTGAGTATGAGGGAGTAGACCTGAATGTGTGTACGTACATTCATATACAATATTTGAACATGATGAAATCTTGATCCAACACGATGAACAAATGTTTCTGCACTCCAGGCTCTCAACTCTACACAAAGTGTTTTTGTGGAAAAACAACAACAACAACAAAAACAACTATTTTGTTAAATGTTAAATTATTTCTCCTTGCAGTGAATCTATAGCAAATGTTGAATTGTACCTTCTCTGTGACACTTTGAGTGTTGATCTGCTCTCTCAGCTCGAGGCTCATCTGCCTGAAGCGCTCTGACCTCTGACCCTCTCCTTCACTGCAAACTGCGCTGCGATAGGCCTGCAGCACTGGTTGCTGCTTCTCAGGCACCAAGAGGATCTTTTTGAGCTCAGGAGCATCTCCCTCCCCACAGGTGAGTGCCTCCAGCATGGATCCAGTCAGGAGTAAACCCTGTGAAAGACAGAACCAGTTCATTTGTTGATGTCAGTATCTGAAGGTCCCATTACTCCAAGGCCTACAACACAAAGTGAAGAGCCTGCTGTTATAGAAAGCAGTGAGATGCAGGCATCTAATGAGCTTTTACCTTTTGACCAATAGCTTAGAACACCAAAGTTAGGATTGACTCTAATGATGCACTTGTAAGGACAAAATATGTACATCAGCTTGTGCAACATTTTGGTTTTGCTACTTTTTTGATTTTTTTTTTTTCCTTTTTTTTAAATGGGTAAGTTTAACTTGATTTGTATGGTTTTTAAACATGTTACTGTTTTATTGGGTTACTGTTACAGTTCTGCAATAGTCTTTTAGTTACATTTGCCTGTGTTTAAAATGGACTTGTTGATTGTATGAATTTCTGCACTATGTGAACATTGGCATGTTATGTAGTAGTATATGCCAGATATGTGCATAAAGCACATAGCAGCATTCTCAATGTTCCAATGCATGTCCTGTTTTAAGGTTTCAGTTTGGTAGAAACTCTGAGCCTACAATAAATTTCTCCAAGGGATAATAAAGTAGATGATGATTTTGATTTTAACTATGGGGATTACAAGCACATTTTCAGACTGTCTCTCTTTAAAGACATTCATTGTGCTGTCCTGAATTGTCCCCACAAAAGAGACATGAAGAGCTGCAACAATCAACAAAAACAAAACAAAACAAACAAAAAAACAAAGAGTGCTTCAGAGATAAGTTCAGATCCAGAGACCCTTCCCCACAGCTGTAAATTTGGTAGGAAACCAGTGACGTCTCTGCATTTGGCACCAGTGGAGCCTGGCCCCACTAGATGTCGCTGTGGAGCTCTATGCTGGCTTCAAATAATTAAGTGGAAAAAAATCAGTCTTTTTGAGTAATAATTTATAAAGAATATTTTATCAATAATAATACTCTTGAAAGACCAATTATGTTACCAAGACGATTTCATGATAAATATTTATACATTATCCAAAGGCTTTGTCCACAGAATGCTGACATGTAGCCTAGTTCTTTGTGACGTAACTGAGAATGGGGCCGGCCCATCAGCGTTTGGTTAAGTGATGAACTGTTGAAATTAATTAGTTGAATTACGTTAATATGAAATTGCATTTTGTGTGTAGGTTTTGCCATTTTATGTGGCTCATTTCATACAGATCAGTCTCAGGTTGTACTGTATGTATCACAGAAGAATCAGATGCTGCTCATAGCTGTTGAGTGTGCTGTGCTCCACTCAACTTTTCATGCCAGAGACGCCACTGTAAGAAAACATTTCAGAAGACAGCTAACCCAAAACTCACACTTAAATGGAACATATGCAGATCGGATGTTTACAACAGAATGACCAGTCAGAGCCCTCTTGGAGACAACAGAGGGTCTCCCACTTCTACCAGAACCATAGAAGGATCATAAAGTGCCAATTCCAAGGAAAACTAAACCTCTAGAAAAGATGACATTTTATTCTTCATGGTGGCCTCCTGACATTTATGTCTCGCCTAACACACTTTCTATACCACAATTAACTGAACAGTTGTACCCCAAAACCAGAAAAGCACTTGGAGAGCACAGACCTCGGCCAAGCAGCTCATTTCCACCATATTGTGATTTCCAGCGGATGTTAAAATCCTGCATTTATTTTATCCACACTGTTAGATTCATGGATAATCAAAACATACCTTTAGCATTTGAACTAACATTGATATTATTAATAACAAGCTGACAGAGTGATGAATGGTCATTCTGTATTCTACAATATTTTGTACACTTTTTTTTTTTTGTTGGCCTTTTTGTCTTTCTGCTGCACTCTCAAATAGAGAGAGACAGGAAAGTGGGGAGAAGAATGGGGGAAGGATCTGCAGAAAAGAGCCATGAGTGGGATTCGAACTCATGTCCTCCGCGTCGGGGACTACAGCTTCTGTACATAAGACACCAGCTCAACCAGGTGAGCTATGACAGACAGGGAGTAACTTACGCTAGGTTAGCACAACTTTTGCAATGCAACGTACATGAAAAGCATGACCAACGCAACGAAGCACGTGTCACTCGTCTTGACACATGGCAAAGAGAGTTAAAGTGAAACAGGAGACATGTTGAGTCATTGTTAATGTCACAACGTCATTATGAACTTGTCTGTCAGTAGCTCCGCTCAGTCCACTCTTGTCATGTTGCCTGGCTGTAGCTTACTCCTGTACTACTGAGAAGACAGCGGTGAGGACTGAAGGATTGAATGGAGTCAGAGCTCCATCTAGTGGACAAACGGCACAAGGACAGCATTCTGAGCAACTAGGACACTTAACAGCATTTACTGTTTTATGAGAAAATAACCAGATGGTAAACCAGAACATCACCAAAATGTAATCATCTGTTTGTTGTGCTATTATCAACATTTCCTGAAAATTTCATGAAAATCCGTTCATAACTTTTTGAGTTCTCTTGCTAACAAACGAACAAAAAGACAGATAGATAAACGCCGGCTAAAACATAACCTCCTTGGCAGAGGTAATACAAACATAACCTCCTTGGCAGAGGTAATACAAACATAACCTCCTTGGCAGAGGTAATACAAACATAACCTCCCTGGAGAAGGTAATGAAGGAAATCAAACATCACCAGAGTGATAATCCCACTCAATCTGTGATACCAGGTTGAGCAGGACCAGGAGTGAAAAACATATTGAATCTGAAGTGTTTGTGGAAGATGCACAGACAAGAGACACAAACACCCGCCTTCTCTCTGTCACAGCCATAAAAGACAAAGACATTCTCAGCATGTATATTTGTTAAGACTTATTTTTCTTATTATAAAT